TGACTGCATTCTTTGCAATAAATTGTTAACAGTTAACAATAAAATCTGTACTAGTGTTTTTAACTTGGAATTTCTCAATGTATTATAGAAATGCACAAGAGTATTGACATCCATTTGCTGTACAGACAGCTAGTAGCAGCTGACTATACAACTTAACTCATAATGATAAAAAAGATTTATCGTTCCAGGATTTTATGTAGTCCAACAATTACAGCATCCACCAAAGAGTATATCCAATTTTTTGATTTGCCAGCTCTCCACAGAATTAACCTTGGCATGACACTTGATATTTAAATGACAATTATATTTAAAAAACATTAGCCTGAAATAGTTGAACTAATTGGTTAGGAAAAATTTAAGGAGAAAGAAAGTGCTTTACAAAGTGATTAAAATCAAACAAGAGGATTCATTTAAAGAAAAAAGGAGCACAATGAATTACAAGCACAATTAATAAGGCCAAGGGATAGTTTGGAAAGGAAAGTTATAAATTTTAAAAAGTTCTGCCAGTATTCAGGAATAAAATAAATATTAAGAATGATGTAAAGGTTAGCCAGGGCAACAAGTGAAAACAATTCAATTCAAAACAGACAATGAAAAGGAAAAGGCTGAAGTAATAAATGATAATTAAATCAGGTATTCACTAAATCAAAAACTTGATTCAGGTGGCAGGTGTTTATTAAAAGTATTAACTTAGAAGAGTTAAGTGTTGCTCATAATAATTCAAAAGGGCCTGAGGGTATCTTGTCAACTGTACAGTAAATAATCTCAGAAATCAGAGACAGCATTCAGAAGCCAATGTTCCAACACCTTCCAATTGTCAATATTGTGCCCATTCACACAAAGGGTAAGCAAACTTATCTACTGATCTAAGAAAAGTACTGAAAGTAATTATGGAACAAAACGTCTGACTTGTATTACTGTAAATATCAGATTATAGAACCAATTTTCTTATAGAACTAGAAGATTCTAGGCAAAAGTCATGATAGATTGAAAAAAGGTTAGTCTTCCTTGGGAACTTGTTCTTTAATCAAGCAAGAACCATAACACATGACATATGATAGAGTGTGTTTAGATTTAAGAAGTTTTTTAATCAGATGTCCTTGCAGTTGAGCACAGATTTCAGAGCACCATTTTCAGGTTTTCTTATCACATGCGGGTATTGCCCCTGGCAACATCATGACACAAATCCATCCTAGCATAGGCATAATCTTATCATTCATGGTTTATCATTTCATTGTGTCTTATCATTTTTGTTTTTCACAGATGAGTTGGTCAAGGCTCAAACAGGTAACTATGAAATATGTTCAGTCTGAATTACCCTGACTCAGACGATAGAGAACAGTCTGTGTTTCTCATAAGGAATTGACTGTCTTTCTTTTCTTAAAGTGAGAACCCCCCACATACACACACCACAAATTAAGCAAACTATCCAATTTTTATAATTATATTTTTATTGAAAAGCTTTAATGGAAAAAATAAATCCATCCATTAAAAAAACACTTCAAAATGATACAAGTTCACAAAGGCTTATTTAATTTTTCCTTCCATAACAAGGCCAAAAACATATTGCCATCCACTGTAAGTGTATGACCCAGTTTATTGGTGGAGCTCCTTTTGATACTCCTACTGTATGTAAAACCCTGGCCAGAGCAGCTCACTAGCAGATCAAGTCTCTGGGTTAAGAGAGCAAACTAATGCCCACATCACCAAAGAGAAGACTGATTTGCTTATATTTTCAGATGTTCCAAATCCAAATTTCTTTTAATATAAAGATGGAAAAGAATTTTCTTTGTTGACAAAATGTAATTTGAATTAACAAATAACGAAGTTTAATGGTAAGGTCTGAAAATATTTTAATATACAGTATATATATTGTTGCATGTAATATAGTAATACAATTTATTCTCTGGGGCAATAGAGATTATTATGATTATTATTAGTGTGTGACTTGAGTCTGTTGCTTGCCAAGGCTCTAGTGCCCCTGTAACCCCCAATTAATTGGATGAAGCCGTTAGAAAATGTATATCAGTGCAGTATGAAAATGTTTAAGTAGACATATAGATACTTATAAAATTAGGGACATATGTTAGAAATAATGCATCATAGTGATGCAAATGTTTATCTATTGGCCAATGCAACAAATATTACCTCAGCCAATTGTTTCCAAACTATTCAATTCTCAGGACAATTCTACTCATTTGGGATCAACAGTGGAGACGCGGTCAGCCCCCAGATTGATGATGGAAGCTCTCCTGTAGTCTCCCTTGCTGTCAGCTTTCCCTTTTTTGGACAAATATACCGCCAGTTATACGTAAGTAGATCAGTGATTTATCTCAATAATGAATAAACAACAAAGTGACTACTATTCACCAATTAACATTCTGAAAAAGTTTAAAAAGAAACAAAAAAACCCAACAGTTTTGATAATCACCTGAGAGGAATAAAATAGACATTTCTGAGTATTATTCTTAAATTAGGGATGAACAGTAGATTGTGTGTTTTGCTGATGAAAAATGTCTCATAATGTAAAAAGCCTTATGCCGAAGTCCATTCTCAGGACTCCAAATAACATTCAAGCCTTCTGTGCTCTGAGGCCTATGTGTTGCCATAGCGCAATTTGTTTGTGGAGAAGCATGGAACCTGGACTCAATTCTTGGGGTGCTATTGGCTTGGAGTTTCTATGTTCTCCCCATGTTTGCATGGACTCCAGGTGCTCCAGTTTCCTGCCACAGTTTAAAGTCCTGGTACGAGTGTCCCCGTCACTATACTGGGGAATTAGGACCTACCTGAACCGCAGGGTGAGCGCCCCCTGCTGGCCTCACTAACACCTCTTCCAGCAGCAGCCTTAGTTTTTCCCAGGAGGTCTCCCATCCAGGTATTGACCAGGCTCACACCTGCTGAGCTTCAGTGGGTTGCCAGTTGTGAGTTGCAGGGTGATATGGCTGCTGGCTATTTACGTATTACGCTAAATAACAAAATATAATCAAAAGCTTTTTTTAAAGGAATTCCTGTTTCTGTAATCTCGTCTAAAGTATTTGTAATATACAATTTATACAGCAAATTCACATGGAAATCCTTAAGTGTCTGACTTATAATTTGGAGTACGCTTAGGAAGTATCTAGGATGTTAAATCTGTGTTTATGATAGCATTTTCTCTTATTCTTTTTTAGGTGAACAACAATGGCTTCATAACATTTGACAGTCCCTCAAGTACCTATGTCCCCTTTCGATTTCCAGCCCGCTCAGGCATTGATATCATTGCACCATTCTGGACAGATCTTGACAACAGAAACAATGGGATCATCTCATACCGACAGATCACCTTTGGAAGTGTCCTTCAACAGGCTACACGTGACATCAACCAATACTTCCCTCAGATTCAATTTACAGCCAGATGGGTTTTTATAGCAACTTGGGATAGAGTGGCCTACTACCCAACCAGTGGAACGGTGATTCTTTTTACATTAACAAATACATATCATTACAAAGAGAAAGAGACTATCGACACATAGGTGCAGACATATGTACAGTATTTTGTAAATGTATTCACCCCCTTCCAGTGATTTTCCATTTTGTCTCAGTTACCAATGATGAGTACACGTTCTTCAAAATGAATAATTTTAATGAGAATTTAAATGTTTAGACTGAACAGTTGTAAGGAATCGTGAAAGAAAAGGTAACATTAAATGTTCTGAACTCTCTTAGCGTTTTAGTGACAGGCAGCAGAAATAAAATTATTATTGGTCAGAGTGCAGTGTGGTGCATCCTTGAAGAGCAGGGATGAACAATCCTATTTATTTTTCATAAATTCTATTTACTAATTTAATTTAATTGAATTAATTAGAATCAGAATGCTAGATAGCAACCTCAATTATCATTTGCTTGCTGGTTTACTCACTATCGCACTATCAGCTTCATTATTTGCAACATCTAGTGTATTATCTCAATTCCTTGGAATGCACCCTGTCTGAAATCTCTGCTTCTTTTCCAACTTTGTTTTCATGTTTACTGTCCACCACTCCTTTTCCCTCATCCGCTTTTACCCGAGGACACTCCATCATCTTTTAGAACTGGTTGGCATGGTGGTGCAATGATTAGCGTTGTTGCCTCGTAGTGCTGGGGCTCAATTCTGAATTCGGGGTACTGTGTGTTCGCCCTGTGTACTCATGGGGTTTCTGAAATGACTGAAATTTCAAATACACGTGGAGTTACTTCATATGTTAAAAGTCATGATCCTCTTTCTTTTAGGAAACTACATTCCAGGTCGTTCTCATCTCAGGTGGAACATATTCATTCGTTCTCATGAATTATGGAATTATAGCAGCAACTGGCAGAGGTGTGGAGGTGAGTACATCTTTTGGAGGTGTTTTGTTTATATAAAGGTTGTAATCACAACCTTTTGTGGGTGCTCCTGAATCTGTGTAAGGATTTGAAGATTGTGGATTTGAGACCTAAACATATTCTGATGGTCTTGCTGATATGATTACATTGAGGTTGTAATAAAATTTCAAACTTTGCTTTGGTCTATTTCATTCTCTTTCAGATTATATACCACACTGAATTGGTTGAGCTTAGAGCAAGAAATAACTGATTAAAAAAAATCAGCATGTCATTTAGCTATTTGTGTGTGTGTAGTATGTCTCTGTTCTTATTGCATCTCACAGTGGAATCTCCATTGTAAGAGGTTTGTGTATTTCCCTCCCTTCCTTGTGAGTAAGGGACTTGCTGTCAGAGATATTATATCTGCAAGAGCCATCATGTGGCTTTTCAGTGTTGTCTAAAGTGGGAGATCGTGGCCTACATATCACCAGGACCTATATGACATTTGTCCCTGGTGCTTTAATTGAGCTCACGTGAAAAACAACATCTCAGACATCGAAGACAACATCCTGTAGGTCACCTGCAGCTTAGTTGACTAGGGTAGGGCTTTAATTGTATTGCTTCTTTCTAGAAGAGCCACAATGGAGAACCTTTTTGTAGTAGTGATGTGGACTGTTTGTAATATTTTAATCTGCTGGTTCTTATACAGGATAACTCTTTTCCGGGACCCATGGTCTAAATAATTCACGTTGTGAAGTTTCTGGCCATTAGCTCTGAGAGGCCACTCTTCTGTTCATTATGGCTTAATAATACATAATCTTCTTGAAATGCTTGATCAATTTATAGGCAATTATATTATTCCTGCGTTTCCCTCTCCTTCAGGCTGGATACGACACAAGAACCTCAGACCACCATTTTCTCATCCCTGGATCTTTTGAAAGCAACATTACCAATCTGATGCACACCAGCAACGTCAATGTTTTGGGACGCTGGGCATTTCATACCGATTCTGGAAACACCGGCTGCATGTTTAATGGTAGTGTATCTTAGCACTATATTTATAATAATGATGATAATCATAGTGCTGACAGTGGTGGAACTTTATGTAGAAATGAACAAGTAACAGGTTGATTCCATGCTGAAAAGAGAAGAAAGAAAACACAACATTTCGGCCATGGTGCCTTCTTCAGGTGTGAGAAAGACAAGGCAGTTAGCAAAGGTAATGTAGTGGGAGAACAAAAGCTGGGAGAGAGGAGGAGTAGGGGATCAACCGAGTGGCGAATCAGACAGAATGGCCAATCAGGTACTGTGAGGTCAGGATAGATGTGAAATGAAACCAACAATGAATAGAGAGAATTTAGAAGAAAATGAGTCTGTCATTGAGAGAAGGGGAAAGGTCTGATCCTAGCTGCAGGATAATTGTAGTTTCTGTGGTCTTTCTGATGTGGGAGTTAGGAAAACCATCTTTGAGAGCACAGACAGAGAGATTAGTGTGACCATCAGAAGTGAAATGAGAAACAATAAGCTTGGAGAAATCTTTCATATTCACAGCCCTAACATTCTCTGAAGCTGTCTCCGAGTTTCTTTCCTGTTTCCCCAATGTAGATGGCTGGGTATTTACTACAAGAGATACAGTAAATGAGGTTTCTGGAGGTACAGAATGTCATCTGAGTGATCCGGAATTGTCCTGAGGGGCCTTGAATGAGTGTGGTGTTAGATGTGTACTTGCAGGCGATACAGCGAACTCGGTTGCAAGGGAAAGTGCCTGGATGATTGCTGAGAGCGGTCAAGGGAGCTGTGAACAAGAAGGTTACGCAGATTACATGGTCGGGGATCTGAGATGATGGGGTGGTCAGAAGAGAGAGCCCCATTGGAGGGATCATCCTGTAGGATGGAAAAGTTGTCTTTAATAGTCCTGGGGATGTGAAGTGTGTTAGGGTGGTAGGGAAGCACCAAAGGAATGCGGTTGTTACTGTGGGAGTTCCTGATTGAGTTGATGGTCCGAGGGGTGTTTTTGGCTTAGGCAAGGGCCCTGTCAATAACACCGTTAGGGTATCCTCTGCTGATGAAAAAAGAGTACATTTTAAGGGGTTGTTTCTGAAAATTGATGTCGTTGCTGCAGAGTCGTCATTGCCTGAAGGAACTGTAAAAAAGGCAGAGAGTTTTAAGTGTGTTTGGGGTGAAATGGGCTATACAGGAGATACGTGTGTGATACGCTGTGTGAATCAGTGGGTTTGTAATGGACCGCAGTAGAGAGTCGGGGGTAGTTAATGGAGAAGTTGATGTCTAGAAACGGAAGAGTAGTGGAAGATATGTTAACTGTATATTTGAGGGACGGGTGGAAGTTGGTGAAGTGATGCCGAAAGTGCTCAGGCATGTGGTGGCATACATCGATGTATCGCTTGTAGAGGTCAGGGACAAAGCCAGCGTAGGAAGCGAAGAAGCTTTCTTCTATCCAGCCGACAAAAATATTGGCATACAGTAACTTGGTCCCATTCTGGTGCCAATTTCTGTGGAAATGATCGTGCTTACAATACATTGTAAAAGGAATATATAAATGACATGTTGAGGTAAAAACAAGCTTTATTTCTTTTAAGGCAATCCAGTGCAAGTGGGAGACAGCTTTTGGAGTGACAGTACATGCCAGAGTAAGTGCACCTGTGTGAGCAGTGGCAATCTGAGATGCCAAAGTCAGCCGTGTGGCTTCGACCAGGTGTGCCAGGTCTCCACTTTCCAGTACTCCTGCCAGACTGTGCAGAGAAGGACCTGCACCATTGCAGGGGACCCCCACTACTACACCTTCGACGGCAGACTCTTTCACTTCCAGGGCACCTGCACATACGTTCTCTCCCAGACCTGTGGCAGCAGAGCCCAGGGGCTAGCGCCTTACCGCGTGGAGGGCAAGAACGAAAACCGCGGGAGCACGGTGGTGGCGTGGACAAAGCTCGTGCGGATTATTGTCTATGGAGAGGAGATTGAGCTGGTCAAGGGCAACACAGCTCAGGCCAAGGTTGGTGCTGGGTAACCAAAATATAAAAAATGGACATTTATGAATTTCTGAGGAAACTGATTCCTTTGCTTTAATTAAGTGCTTGTAGTTTTCAATTTTACTCGATAAACAAAACAGTAATAAAATAACCATGATTTAAAGCAAATTGAAATCAGTGCTATTATTTAATCCGTTATTTTGGGGGGCTGACTTCACATCAATGCTACAATTTTAAATTGTTCACTTTCTTTCCTATCATGTACAGTACGTGCAAAGCACCCAATCCCAATAACTCTGTATGGACACATGCATTTTGAAGCAGTACATTTAGAGCAGAACAGCACATTGAAAAACATTTTAAGATCATTTAAGTTATTAACCGTATCAATTTAAGAATTAATTGTCATGTCTGTAGATATGTCACTTTTGTGATGGGGATATTATTCATTGTTCTTTGAACTGATTTACAGGAGTGAACTAAACTAAATTTATGAGACAAGGATGCCAACAATGGAATACAGTTTTTTTTCAATTGCTTGAAAATGTTGCCTTTTGCACCTTTGAAAGACCTTTCAGTGTCTCCTAAAGTGAAAAAAAAGAGAAAACCTGTACTTATCGAGCTGAACGTATCGCAATTTCTGATGTCACTGTTTCCTATGTTTATGCATCTACAGGTGAACGGCAGCTTTGCCACAGCTCCTTTCTCTCTGCACAATGGGACTGTCCGTATCTATCAGACTGGATTCTCTCTGGCAGTCAGCACTGACTTTGGCTTGACAGTGGCATATGACGGCTACAGCTATGTTACCATCAGTGTGCCATATGACTACCTCAATGCCACCTGTGGCCTCTGTGGCACCTTCAATAACAACCCTGCAGATGATTTTCTCTCCTCTTCTGGCAGCGTCCTGAGCTCCGATGTCAACTTTGCCAACAGCTGGCAGGTGTACAGTGATAGTGAACCAGGCTGTCAGCCTCCTTGTGTGGGGGCATCTTGTGCAGCGTGCCAGCCACAACAGCGAACCCTCTTTTCCAGCATTTCCCACTGTGGCATACTGGAAAATCCTGTGGGAGCCTTCAATGTCTGCCATTCCAGGCTGCCCCCCAGCTCTTTCGTAGAAAGCTGTGTCTATGACTTATGTGTGGGTAGAGGATACCAGCCTATCTTGTGCCAGGCACTGAATGTATACGCTACGCAATGCCAACAGGAAGGACTCCATCCTGGTCAATGGAGAAGACAAGGATTCTGTGGTAGGAGCATTGTCTTTGATTAAATTCAAAGTAAAAAATGTCTTAAAAATCATACATGTACTTCCCCTCATGCTTAAGGATCATTCAAGTTCACATCACATATTCCTTTCAGGTGTCACTGTACTGCAAGATTTAGTTGACATCTGTCTTATTTATCACCATTTGTTTGTGTGAACTGTTTTTCTGCTCCAGTATGCTGTGGAATGATCAAATAGAAATATAGAACATGCTTCATTTTTTTCAGATACCGTACCTACAGGTTAATGTACTTTTACTGCTGTTTGACCAGTTAGCACATGTGAACAACACGCCCACGTACAAAAAACCCAATGTGTGAGGGAAGGCATTGTGAAAGAAAAGTGAAACTTCTTACTTTCACAAAAAGAAATTAACCATACTTAAACTTTTTATAATAATAAAATTAATTAATTTAATTAATTAAATGCAAAAAATACAACAAAAACAACATTGCAAAGTAATTCTGTCGATGATATACAGTAGATGTCATTTTATATTTAAAGGCAGTAAAAGGATTGTACACAATTAAAACCAGACTGGCAACTAACTGTAGAAATCTATTCTTATCAAGTCAGGATCAAAAGACAATTTCCTTTATGTTTTTTTTTTATCTTATCGGAGTCAGGCACTGAATTTTTTTTAATCAAAATCTAAATAAAAAACTCATATAAAAAAATGTCAGGAAAATAGTCTGGGTTAGACCTATTAACATTCAAAGATTTGCTGTAACACACAAGAAAAAGCTAAAGCACAAAAACAGATTCACGACCTTCTGTATGTGTAATGTGCAGGGTGTGTAATGCTGTATTGTAAAAGTGTGTTCATTACAATATTTCATAACTGAAACTAAATTTAGTTTGCCAATGGAAAAAAATGATCTGTCTAATCTCTTGTTTGTTTGAATTCTTTCCAGAAATCACTTGCCCTGCCAACAGCCACTTTGAACCTCAGGGCACAGGATGTCCTGCTACATGCGCTGACCCTCAAGCGCCATCCCACTGCCCTCTGCCCTCTCAGGAGAGCTGTATATGTGACACAGGGTTTGTTCTGAGCGCAGGGACGTGCGTTCCTGCGGCCCAGTGTGGCTGCACCTTTGAGGGGCGGTACTACAGTTTCGGCCAGACCGCGCTGTTGGGTGCGGATTGCGGCCGCAGGTGCACGTGCCAAAATGGTCAGATGAGCTGCCAGGCTCATGCGTGTGGCCCCCAGGAGGCCTGCCGCATTGAGAATGGTGAGCGAGGCTGCTACCCCCTGAGCTATAACATGTGCTGGGTGGAAGGGGCCAGGCGGTACCGCACTTTTGACGGGCTGACATTCGAGTACCCTGGAGCCTGTAGCCTGACCCTGTCCAAGGTGATGGGGCAGTCCTCCTTGCGCCGCTTCCTGGTGACTGCTAAGAAGGTACCCAGAGGCACACCGGGAGTTGACTTTGCCCGAATCCTGAGATTTGAGACCAGTGGTGTGGAGATTTCCATTGAAATGGGACCAAATCCCATTGTACAGGTTAGTGCCTAGACCTTTGCTTTTGATTTTCATTTGTATTAGCATTTGCTTTCAATTTCCAGATACAAATTATTTGCTTCCTTTAATTCCTCACGTTGCCATTACGCCTGGAAATTTACTGAAAACGTACAGTTCCTACTAAGGAAAGTATATTTTCGATCACACAGCCACACTGTTCCTCAAATGTGAGGCTTTCATAGTAAGCAGAGACCATACTGTACCACAAGATGCTTCAAGGGTCCCTAGAGAATCAAACATAGTACTGTCTGTGAATGAATACAACATGTAGTGCAGTTGATATATAGTAGATACAGAAAGAAAGGAAAAACAACAGCTGAACACATTTCATACTCATTTGATATGCTGTGAATCCTGTTAGCCAGTTTGTCACAAGCTGTATTCTCTCACATTTCCAGGTGGGTGAACAGAATACCAGCCTGCCTTTCAGAAGAGAGGCAGAAGGGGTCCAGGTGTACTTGGCCAGTTTGAGCCGGGTGGTAGTACAGACTGACTTTGGTGTCCGCATGGAAGCAGACTGGCCTCACCTGGTGAGGTTGACGGTTCCCAGCACTTACAATGGGACACTTGGAGGGCTCTGCGGGAACGACAACGGATATGTTGGGGATGAGTTTTGGACTCCTGATGGTTCATTTGAAAATGACTCCCAGTCTTTTGGAGACAGCTGGCGGGATGGGAGCCTGTCTGCCTTCTGTGTGGAGAACTTGCCTAGCACCTCACCACGCAGTGGAGGCAACAGCAGCCAGTACCTCTCCGGTCAGTTCTGTGGTATAATGGCTCTGCCCCAAGGGCCGTTTGGCCAGTGCCAGGGCAGGTTCAATCCGAGCGAGAGGATTGACAACTGCGCGAGGGATATGTATCGGCAAGGAGGAGCCAGTGAGGTGCTGTGCGAAGCCCTGCGCAACTATGCTCTGCTGTGTCAACAGAATGGCATTGCCATCTCCCACTGGAGGAACCTCACAAACTGTCGTAAGTATTTACTGTGTCTGGCTGTTTGCCCAATTGGCACATGAGCGCTCTTCTAAAAGTTCGCTCTATGGGCAGGTGTATAAATAGCAAGAGGTAATAATATTTGGCTGGAAAATTTTGTACGGAGCTTCCACCCATTAAATGTGAAAATATGAAAATAATCATTAGAACTAAACATCTTCTATAGGACGTTTAGGATCAACATGGATTTAGAGAAGGCAGTTCGTGCTTAATGAACTTGATTGAGTTCTTCATAAATTTGGAAAATCATTCAAAAAAATGTGCTTTATCTAGCTTCTTTTCAAAGGTTCAGTTGGGGTTATAGTACAATTTTGTCAAACATCTTTATGGGAAAAGAGATTTTTCTCTTGTCCATATGTCACATACTATACCGTTTACCATGTTTTCTGTATGTTTAACTAAATGGACTATCTTCAGAAAATAGTGTTTTTACAGGCTAATAGTAGAAGGTCTTGTCACACAACTTCTCATTCACTTCTTTCCCTGCCAGAAATAAACTGTCCACCTCACAGCCACTACGAGCTCTGTGAGACCTCCTGCCCGGCTGCTTGCCCGTCGCTCTCCTTCCCTTTCACCTGCCAGGGAACCTGCCAAGAGGGATGCCAGTGTGACAATGGGTTCATCTTGAGCAACGGCCAGTGTGTGTCTCCCATTGACTGTGGCTGTCAATATCAGGGGCGGTACTACCGGGGCGGGCAGAGCTTCTGGGATGGAGACGGGTGCCACAACTTTTGCCAGTGCAACGGAACCACAGGGAATGTCCAATGCTCACCGTCTTCCTGTGGGGAACTGGAATCCTGCCGTATCGTAGGAGATGATTATGGCTGCCACCCTAAACCCCATGGCACTTGTGTTGCTGCTGGAGATCCACACTACCTGACCTTCGACGGAAGAGCCTTTGACTTTCAGGGAACCTGTGACTATGTGCTGGCGACGCTCTGCAACTCTTCGACAGGGCTACCAAACTTTCAGATTGAGGCACGCAATGAGAGGTGGCAAGGCCTCTCAGTATCTGTTACCTCAGACGTGTTCGTACATGTCTACGGGAACGTGGTGCACATCTCTCGAGGGTGGAGTGGAACAGTAGAGGTAATGGGTCACTCACATTCATTCAACACCTTCACTATCAGTTTTGCACTTAGCTTTTCTCTGATTCATTTATCGGGCCAATGGGATTTCCATTATATTTCATGATAAATATGTAACAAGAGCTGTCATAGTGTTTGCTGCCTGGGGGAATAAGTTCCCAAGGTTTGTGGATGCAGGCAGTCCAGGGAATCAGGCCACCAAGTTGTGGATATTAAAACTGCCTGGGGAATCAGGCAGCCAAGGAATTAGGACACAACCTGCCCAGGGAATCAGGTCGCTAAAGTGTCGGGGAAACAGGCTGGCTGGAGAATGAAGCTGCTGACTTGTGGAGCTAAGAGCTGCCTAAGGAAGCAACCGGGCTTCACCACTGGGCCAATGTTGATAAGTTGTTGCTTTTGGGTTCAGCCATGTGTGGAAGATGAGTGAAGAGCTGCTTGCCAGATTGCACAAAAAGCCACTGGTCTAGTAGTGAATCAAGCTTTTAATAGGAATACTAGTATAAAAAGGATGAATAGTTTGGATTAAGGAGTGATACATTAAAATAGCTAATAAATAAATCTTAAAATACAACTTAACACAGATTGATTTCAAAGTGGCACTCATTATAATCCCTACTTATTTTGTTTTTCTCCTCAGGTTGATGATGTGACTAAGAATCTCCCAATCCTCCTGCAAAGGGGTCAAGTGTCTGTTTATCAGAGTGGCATTTACACCTTCGTCAGTGTTGACTTCGGCTTGACTGTCAGCTACGATGGCAACAGCGTTGTCTCTATCACCCTGCCTCCACGTTTCAGAGGGCGCACCTGCGGCCTGTGCGGCAACTTCAACGGCCAGCCAGCAGATGACTTTGTCACCCGCTCGGGGGCCCTGGCGCCAACTCCCTTCGACTTTGGCTCAAGCTGGAAGACAGCCAACAACCGCAGCTGCAGCGATGGCTGTGGTAACTCGTGCCCAGCATGCCCTGATGATAGAGTGGCCCGGTCGCACTGTGAGGTTATTCAGGCCAGCAATGGACCCCTGGCGTTCTGCCACTCCACAGTCAGCCCAAACACATACTTCAACGACTGTGTTTTCGATGTCTGCCTCTCTGGAAACCGTAATGATGTCTTGTGCAGGGCCGTCCAGGCATATGTTGGTGCCTGCCAGGCAGCAAATGTCAGAGCGCTCCCCTGGAGGCAAGGCACACCATGTGGTAAGGGCAAGCTTACTAATAGTACAGGCTTTGCATGTTGGACACCTTGTGAAGTGTCTTCTGTTTGACTGTTAGTGAGGCTTGAAAGAGGTTTTTAAAAGGGATGCTGTACTCCTTATTAATTTAAATTATAAGGTGACTGAGTGGGTAACTGAATGGTTCAATTTTACTGTGAATATTGTGATCTACCACCATATAATCAAAGAAATAAGCTACCTGGCAGTACCTTCTTTATTTTTCTATTACATCACAAAGGTCATTCAAGAGCAATACAGTTTTTTTTTTGACAGAATGCATTTCAGTAAGATGTCACTTTATGGCATAAGCAGTTATAAAATTAAAAGAGCTTTCAACATTTGTTATATTTCTTCAGTTGTAGGAGCCTAAACTCCTAAACTGGAAGATGATCAAACAAACATAAATGCACAATATAGGACGTTCTAATAAGGAAAACATAGTGGGCATTATTAATAAAGACAAACTGTCCGTGAGCTCTTTAAATGACCAAAGAATAATTCAGAAACAAAGCATTGTGTGCATTTTTACCTTTGCAGCTATCTCCTGTCCGGCACACAGCCATTATGAGATGTGTGGCACCGAGTGTGGACAGACCTGTGCTGGCACAATCGATGCGCACTGCGATCAGACCTGCTCAGAGGGCTGTTTCTGCGATCAGGGTTTTTTCAGAAGTGGAGATCGCTGTGTCCCTGTGGAGGAATGTGGCTGCCAATATGATGGATTTTACTACAATGTGAGTACAATTAGAAACGTAGAAATGCTGTAGGCTGCTTCTCTGGCACCAAAGATTACAGGGGCAGTATATTTATTTGGAATATTTCTTTGACATTTAATTACCATTTGCTTGTCATTAAAGCCTACATAAAAGCTGTGACAAAATATTCAGTCTAGCCTACATCTTCCTCCTACACAGAACAAAGTGTAGGGAGAGTGTTTGAGGAATCACTTTATTTTTACTTGCTAATACATCTCAAACTTTTTTGATGCTCTATCTTGGCTGAGATTTCAGTTTTTCTTTAATTGCCTGCCCAGGTTGGGGAAACGTTCTGGACACCAGGATGTTCACAGCGGTGCATGTGTCACGCCCACCAAGACTTGCGCTGTGTGGCAGCTGGCTGCACGCCCAGGCAGGAGTGTACCATTCGGAGAGGTCAGCTGGGGTGCTTTGACCTCCTGTCTACCTGCACAGTTACGGGAGACCCACACTACTTCACCTTTGATGGGGCCGTGGCTCACTTCCAGGGCACCTGCTCGTATGAGATCTCCAGGACCTGCGGCAATGTGACCTCTGGAGACAGTGCCTTCCGCGTTGTCGCCAAAAATCGCCATCATGGGAGCACGCTGGTCTCTTTTGTTTCTGCTGTGGACATCTGGCTTTCTGAGGGAGGACAGCAGACACACATTTCCATTGGCACGAGTAGAAGTGTGCAGGTACTGTATATAATAACATAAGAAGTGTCAAAAAAAGGATATTTGGGGCATATAGTGTATTTGGTTATTCAAAACCTAACCACGTGCAAAAAAGTACTTTCTTTTCTTAGGATAGTTTTTCACTGTTATTTTTAAAATAATAGCAATTACCTTAGAGCTTAAAGCAGTGCATTACAGTATTATTATATTAATGGTATTAGGGAGTATTACAAAAGTGAAATTAAACTGACTCAAAACAGAAGCTTTTAGATGATAAAAGATAAACACCTGTGTTTTAAATGATTATTTCACTCAAATGTTTACCAACAAAGATGTAGATATTGTGTCAGGCTGAGCAAACACAAAGTATCATATGAAATAATATTAACATAGAGTTAGTATAGTCATTACTGGAATCACTTCAAATAAACATTTACAGGGTTGATTCTACTTAAGGAAACAATGGATTTTATTCATAGGTCGTTAACCAAACTCTTACAGTAATTTCTAGAGAAACTATTTATTACTTATTTTAACCAAGGATCTAATCTAACTTTTTCATAAATTAAATGCTTCAGAATCATGACTGCCCAAACATTTGAATACTGACACAACCTAACTGTAATTATGCAGGAGAACAATTCTTATTTTAATTATTAAAACGGAAACAATAGCAACTCTAGCAATTAGAGAATTGTACATGGCAGTATAAAGGAGTATAAAGTTAGGTTTTGTTTGACTTGCTACACGTCTAGAAACAGCAGTCATGGATGCAAAGAGATCATATGATATGGTATATTTTAGATAACGTTTATTTAGATAACTAAATTTTGAAAAACCCTGAAAGGAATTGATACATGACAGCTCAGTGGGCTGCCTTAGAATCCACAGTGTGACATGAATCATAAAAAACGAGGTGGAAACAGTGGGAAAGTGCATTTCTCACTGAGAACAGCAGTCTGGTGTAAACGAATGTACACAACGATTTTGGAAGCTGATAACCTGGAAGATTCCAATCTTCAGATCGATCAGCAACTAGTAGCTAAATAAGATAGACTGGCTAAGTGTCTGGCATTTGTAAGCCCTGTCATTTGTTAACATTGCACTGCTCTTACTGCGTCTTTAAATTATTTGTGCATATGGAATGGATACTTGTAGCCATTCATATCTAATGTGTTCAGGGATCTAAGACAGCAATTGTGTCTTATTTCTCTTTCTTTTTAATCACCAAGGTGAACAACAGGGCAATCTCCATTCCTTCTGCCATTGGGTCTGTTGCTCAAGTGTCCTGGGACAGGGACTTTGTGGTGGTAAACGCCTCGAATGACCTGGAAGTACACTTCAATGGGAGGAGCACCCTGTTCGTCAGGCTTGGGCAGAGTCACCGCAGCTCTGTGTGCGGGATGTGTGGGAATTTCAACGGAGATCCAGCAGATGACAAAGATCTGCCTAATGGTTTGCCTGCAGGGAGCGATGAAGAATTTGGCAATGGGTGGATATCAGACACCAGCTCCCCAGGGTGAGATGACAAGAGTTTGTTGTGTTTTTTTTCCTTTCAAATCTTAATAATTATGCTAACAGCAAACATCAATAATCACCTATATTATATTGCTTTATGTTATATAAAAGGTAGTATAACAGTTTTAGATTGCTTCATTTATTTGGATGTTCATTCATTTATAGTAACATAGCAATTTTAGAATTTCTAAGTAATACATTATCAGTTTTGTCAATATGTTGCAATATTATTGGTATGTATTTATGCTGCCATGCACAAATCTAGTCATAATTTATTAAATATCAGGCATAGCAAGATCGCAAGATAAAAGAGACAAATTATACTGTAGCTGGCAGGTCTCCAGAAGAGGTTTTAAAGAGAGAGAAATATTCCATGTATTTCATATTTACCAGTGTGTATCGTCTTTCCTGTCTGTGTGTCCCAGCTGTGGGGCACGTGTTAGGAGTGGAGCTCAGGGCTGTCCATTCCAGCAAGAGTACACCGAGCTCTGCAGCATCATCAGCAACACCACAGGCCCCTTCGCAGAGTGTCACATCCACATCGATCCTGAGCCATACGTCAGCGCCTGTGTGTATGACCTGTGTCTCTACACCCCCGTCAATGGAATCTTTTGCTCTGCTGTCAGTTCCTACGAGGCTGCCTGCAACATCCTGGGTCTTGATATTCCTGAGTGGCGCCCAAGTGTCCAATGCTGTAAGTCAAACCTTTTCTCTGCTTTGGCCTATTATTATTTACCTAAGCTGGATACAGTGCTTAAAATAAAATGTTAAAGGTTGTATCGCTGCTTGTAGGATAGATAGTTTTAAGAAATGATTAAAGGAAGGTTAAAATCAAGTTTAGGAAACTGCTACTGTCAAAACTCCTGTTTGGGTATGTAAGCAAAAGGAATAGCTTTACTATATTTTGGAGTGCATTGGAAGACTTGAAACTCAAATACATTCCATTCCTAAAGCCAATCACTCATTGCTTCCATCTAAGAAAGTATATTCATCAGACTCTGTCTCCCTAACATTTTATATAAAGGCTATGATAACTTTGTTCATTTGTTCATTTTGTCACCCTTCTTGGTGCAGCCTAGGTCTTGCATCGGTTAACGGATCACAGTTAATTAATCACGAATGACGTTTCTCATTTCTGTGTGACATATTAAATGTGAAAATGTGACAGAAACATAACCCAAATTCTCATCGTCTGATATGGGAGCCCCATTTCAACAGTGCTAAAGATGTATTCATACAGTATGGCATTAAAAAAATCTCAATCCCAGCACTATCTCGATGCCATTTGGATTTCTGGATAACTCTCTGTGTTCTTTATGACTTTCTGCGATATTTTTTCAGTTTGACCAAATTGTAATTATTTAATGAAACCTTGCTTAATTAATAAATAATAAATAGCAATGTGTGGTTCATAGTTAAAAGAAATACTGTTGTACAGTGCTCTACTGTATTATGTACTGTAGTTAACGATGGTGTTCTATTAGTAGGTACTGTAGATAAGCGTGTTGACGTTCTGTGGTGTTCTGCTGCTGTGTTCCAGCCCTGACAGACCCCTGTGAGCAGCTGCACTGTACTGACCAGGAGTGGTGTGGGGAAAAGGATGGAGTCTATGGCTGCTTCTGTAATGAGGACCACGAACGCCCAAATGCCAACAACTATGGTATTTTCTTCATATCCTAACACTGCTGGTGGTTTCTTACATGATTTATTCATCTTGGACACCAAGGTTAAAAATGAAGTATATAATTATGCACATTCAGAATCTGAAGATAGGCCTAACCACAGTCTGTGAGATAACACCAGAGCACCTGGAAAAACCCACATTAACATGAGGAGAACATACAAACCTCATGCTACTAGCATCCCAGATATTGAACCCAGGACCCCAAAACTGCAAGGCTGCAATACTAACCCCTGTGCTACCATGCTGCCCAACATTTAGTATATTGTTTACAATTTTAGTCAATCCAATGGAGAAAGGTCAAATGAAGTATATTGCTAGGATTAAAATAATTCTCTGCATCAAAGGGTTAAATTTACTGAATCATTATAGCCTTGCAAAGAGTCTAAGACATTGTATCATTACAAGGGGAAACCTGTGACACCTGAGCCAGAGGACACAAGTAGAGAAAAAATGAAAGAAATTGAACAGAACAAGAGACACTTCTTAACACAAAGAGTTATGCAAGTCCGGAACAAGCTTCCCAAACATGCTGTTGTAGCAGATATACAGTATGCCTTTGGATCAATGATCTTCTAGTTACCAAATGAACAATATGGGTCTCTTTTGTAAACCTTTCTTAAATTATATTCTCTTATTGTTTAAGTAAATTTTGAAAGGTACAGTATGCAATCACAGCTATTCTTTGCAGTATGATATGCATCCTGATATCTGTGGCTGGTTCCATTATAATATATTGCACAGTTCCACTTGAAGTTCCTACAGTTCTAAATAAGGTTAAGCTCTAAATTGTCAATAGTCCTAGACTGAACCTGATCTAAGGTGTTTCCTCTTGCAGACGCTCAGGAGACTTGTTTCAGCAGTTCAGGCATAATGTCACTGTCCAGATGCCTGCTGTTTGAAGAAGGATTCCCTCCTCACATTTTGCATCTCAATGATCCCAACTGCACTGGGACTGTCATCAATGGTCGGGTGGAATTTCTCTTTGACAATGACAATCACACCTGTGGAACATCCCTAACGGTAAAGTAACTGCTCCTACAGTTGAATGCAAGCTAGCAGTTCTAGCTAAGATTTTATTTTTTCTATATATCTTTATTTAGTACCACTATTGCACAGAATTATATGCATCAGGTGCCAAGTAAATTATTTTGCCCTTTTCACCCTGCAAGAGAATTACAGTATATTAGATTTTAAATTATCAAGGCACTTGTCATTATCCAGTATATGCATGTTATACATCTGTTTCAATATTAGTTCCCCCCACGATAACATGACATCAGTTTTGACATTTCATATTCATTTTATTAGAAGTGCTAGCTACTATATTTCAACCTGTTTAAAGTGTGTATGATAATTTTGAAATTACACATTTGAGAACATCTAACACGTGCTTCAACTGTTTAACCCATTCAATGCTTACATAAACCCCATTAGGAGATGCAATATTATTTTTCCCCAGCTGATAATTTCCTTTATTAGGATCCACATCATATTAGCTTTAAGGTATGGCACAGACTCATATTGGTTCACTTACAGTACATACTGTACTGTATCATCCTACTTTCCCTTATTTGGCTCCTCTGCAGACAAACGGCACACACTTCATCTACAACAACTCCATCCATGGGGCCATTGACTCCAGTGGTGGGGTCATCAGTCGAACAAAACATATAGATCTGAAGTTCAGCTGCGTGTACCTACTGTCTGAGACCATGTCTATGCCCATTGGCATTCATCCATTGGAGAGGTAGGCTGAGCTCTGTCAGTCTGACTGAACAGGAATTCAAATCTGACTATGAGCAAGAGGATCACTAAATCTAAATATATTTACTTCTGTAAAAAACAATCTGGGCAAAAGAATGTTACATGTTTTTCATTCTGCATATGTTATAATACAGTATATAATATAGTATATAATGTGTTCTGCTGTAATTCTCCCAAGTTACATAGTTTTTGAGATTTTATCTGTCCTTTTAATTTTATGGACAGTTTTTTACTTTTTATCGATTTATGGAAATGAAGGAAATCTCAATTTCGCTAGGAATACAAAGGTAATTATTCTTACTGGTATTGTAATCAATGCTTTTGGCTTTATTTAAAAAAGACAGGTAGTGTCATGTGTATATTTTAACAGCAAATGCTTGTTATTGGTGTTGGACCAAAACATTTGTGCTTCTTAACAGCATTGTGAGGAAGAACCTACCTTCAGGCATTGGGACCTACCAGGTGCGCTTGGTTCCTTACCAAGATTCACAGTTCAGTCATCCTTTCACGGGGTCTCAAGTGGACCTAGAGCTCAACCAGAGGGTTTATATTGGAGTTTTTGTGAGTGGAGTGGATGACCGGCAGTTCTCCAGTGTCCTTGAGTCCTGTTGGGCAACACCTGTGAATGACCCATTTTACAGCATTCGATGGAACCTCATTACCCATGAGTAAGTTTTGTTCCTAACTGTTTTACCATGTTGAATGTATATTCCCAATACAGATAAATACAGGCTATTATTATTTATTTTAGACTTAGTGTATGGATATGACATTCCACATTGCCAGCTATATTAGCAATAACATATGAGAGATCAAGCCATATCCTCACGAACTGCTCCATTTTTCATCAACATTCATCAAGATTTTATTGCCACCTATGCTCTATAATGAGCAGTGCCGATTATGGATATAAATGCAAGGTTTTCTTTGTCAATAACCAGAAGAGTTATAATAATATATACAGTATAGTATATACTGTATAGAGAATTACGGCTTTTATGTTCTGCTCCTTTATATGAAGACAGATATTGCACATTACATCTGCCTATTCCTTTCCAATATTTTCCATGTCACATGTTGTAAAATAGTAGGAGTATTCAGGAGCTCTGAAGCCACCATTGTGCAGGTGTTTTATAGGGAAATGTGATAATAATGTCAAGTACTGTAGGTTGTAGAGCTACACTTGTTCTCTAACTAAAAAAAACAAGAACTTTTCTGTATCATGAAGCACAGTGTTTTCCTCTACACTGTGTTTACATGCTGAATGCTCTGTGCTCCAGGTGCCCCAGCTCTAATGACCAGACAGTGGAGATCATCCAGAACGGTGTCTCCACCACCAGCCGGTTCTCCTTCCAGATGTTTGAATTCATAGGAAACACCTCCATGATCTTCCTGCACTGCCAGGTCAAGCTCTGCATACTTGCAGGAAATGACTGCTCTGCGGTAAGTAGAGCTCAAAACAAGCAGAAAAAAGTGTTCACTTACAGGTTATTTGTTTTGCTGTTCTGACATTCACCTTAAGAAAGTAAATCTTTCACATACCAACAAAATATTTTTTAGAACAGGAGTACAAGTTAGTGGTTCACAGACAATTAAGTCAGGGGTAATTTCTGGAGAAACTCTGTGGTTTCGAAGATGAGATAGAGTGCATCAATTCAGCTTGTGAACTACATGAAATTAAAGCAACAATACATGGAAAACAAATGAAAAAAGATGCATCAACTAAACCTTTTTAATTTTTGTTCTGATTCAATAGCACTGTTACCCAGGATACCATCGCAGAGTGGCCAGGGATGTGAATTTCCATGATGGCACCTCAATTTCAATGGGTCCTCTGACTTGGTCACAACGATCAGGTACAAAATGACCATTCAGGATATGTAGTGTGGAGGAGTAAAGATGTTTCACTTTGCGTAGTTTCATAGTTAAGGCTTTCTTTAATGACGATCATAAAAGAAATGTTTGGCAAGCCAAAGAGAACTTTGTGACACCAGAGAAACTATGGGAAATGAAAAGCAACCAGTAATTCTGAGAGGTACATCTCTTTACACAGACAACCCTTGGAAGACAGACAACATTTCCCCACTTTGCTCACTCCTCAGTCTATTTTTTCAAACCTTACTCGGAAGACTTATTGATCTGTTCATGTCTTACAAGGAAAATGTTACTTTCAAAGTAAATCAATTTTTACCACCTATTTAGCACATGTGTCCCATATTGACTAAGACAAAGCCCAAAAATGAATATGTTTTGTGAAATAAACAACTTTGAAATGCCTGAATTTTAATCCAGCATGAGTGTTTGACTGACCTGGTTAATCTGTCTTGTTCTAGAGTTCCGAAAAGTTCGATCTGTGACGGATGGCTCGTCTGCTGTCTGTCCCAGCCTGCTTCTGCTGCTGTGTTTCATTGGTACTATGCTGATGGGCTAGATATCAGGGACCAAATTCAAAGACTAAATCTAGATTTTCAGGGATAGGTGTATAGGGGACACACTGCTACAACCTTTTCATATTATTTTGCCAGTTGAATGTTTTGCATACAGTAGTACAGAAAGAGCAAGTCACTAGTAATAAAATTAGTATAGCTTTGCAATACAAGGGAGGTAGGAAGAGTGCTCTTTAATTTAAAGAAAAGCAATTTTAGTGGAGGACAACTACAATATATTAATATTAATCAAACTAGCCTCCAGCAGGCAACCCATTTGGAATAAACAGTAAAATGCAAATTAGTAGGTGATTCAGCTTATTCACAATATACAGTCTAGAATCCTCTGTTTTGTTATGATCATTTGATGAAATCTGTATACATAATTTGTAATACTTTGTAATGCATACCTTGTAGTCTGTTCCAGCCTAACAGACAAACGTCAGCATTGAGTTTAAAGGTTTTTCTGTGGTCCAAGAGAGTGGCACTATTGTATTGAAGAAGAAAGAAAGTATTTTATTTGTTCTTGAGTTTTATTAAGTGAAATTGTTATTTTCTATTTTTTCTAAGGAACAATGATGAAGACACCCATAATATTGTAAAATGGTAAATATAATGGTACTGGTAAATTCTTATTTTTTATTTGATCATTGTGGTGGTGTTTATAAAGAAAAGACTATGTGAATCAAAATATATCAATTATACTGTATACCACATTCATTTAAATTATAATTGCTAATAAAAATCAATGTTAGGAAGGATTTGAAATAGACATTTAAATTTCAGAATATGGGAGTAAAGCTTGAGTTTATACTATATTGTCAAAAGTAGATTGCATCTGAATGATTAATGGTAATAAAACTAAATGCTTGTATAAAGTTGTTTATTTTCATTTCAGCTGTGATTCTAGTTATGCCAGTAGATAGAAACAGAAAATAAAACTGTCTTCTAATGTGTAGGTCTAGATTCAGGTTTGGTTTTGATAGCAAGCACACACAGCTTTGTGTCATCCTCAGTTGAGAATTTACAAAGGTACTGTATAAATAATACGGGATTTGGCCATTTCATTTATTTTACTTCTACAATTATAACACTGGGCTGTCCAGTTCAAGGACCAAAATGTCTCCTGTTTTCTTTTCCCGGGATTCCTCCCTCTTGGCCCCTGTTCTCCTTGGACCCCGGTCTGTCTGGCATCCTACCACTGGTTCAGACAGCAGGTGTTCTACAGTTTTCTCTAATTGAATGTCTGCCTTTCCTTCTGCCTCTATTACTTGCATCCAACACAGCTCATCACCTTGATGCCATTGGCCCTGGTCTCTCTCCACCCTTGCTGCTCCTGTTGCCATCTCCATGGTGTCAGGTATTTAGATGTCCTATCTCCAGCTCACCCAGGAGGAATTCAAGAGCCATCTGCAATTAACCCAACGTTTGCCCTCCCCCTAGCATCCAACACAGCCCAATACCTTTTGGTGTCTTTGGCTATTGTGTCTTTGCTCTTAGCTCCTAGCTCCTCTTCCTTGTCCAGCATTCTACCCTACCAACTGGTCCAGCTGCAACAGTTTAGCTGACTCTTGCTCTCTTTCTCAATTTCAGAAATTCCAAACCAGTCCATGTCCTTGACTAATTCCTTTTTATTCCGGTCTATTCTTCTTACTGATTCTTTCCAACAATAACTTCAGATGATCTACTGTAAAACACCATATTAACGGGAATTACACCTTGCTTCATTTGTTGATATCGGACTGCTTGAAAGTATTTTCAGTTATTGTTTTCCAACATCAATTATTCATCTTTGAGCAACTCTTTCTTCAACTGCTGTTGCAAAGGAACTTAGGAGTGCTTCATTCACTATTAAAGTTCTTCTGAGTGGAGTTCAATTTCCCATACACTTCTGTACATGACCAAAGAGGATCTCCCACCAGTTTGCTGCTATCCAAAAAGGAAAATGTTATGACTGTAAGCTGGATCCTCTCCCACTTTTGCAATTTTCAAAGAAAAGTCCTGTTTTTCTGCATAATAATTCCCAGGCCATTCACTTCAAACAAGTCCTGCCTTCTTTGGCTGCCATCAACATGTTCCTGATCAGATACCAAGCAACTCGGTCACTGGTGTTCAGAAGCATGCCATATAAGTCCTTTGGATTTCATGCTCGGCATTTCATACAGTCAGACTTTTCCAAATTGCAGAATGATTCTCCCATTGGCGTAGGTACAGTATAGGTTAACTAAATATTCTCTTCCATATGAACAAGTAATAGGTTTATTCCATGCTGAAAAAAAGAAGAAAAAAAACACAACGCTTAGGCCGTGGAGCCTTCTTCTGAAGACATACTGTATGTAGATTTTTATTGGGGAAGATGATTTTAAAATGACATTTTTTTACATTTTCTTTAAAATGAAAAAATGGTGTGCATTAAGCATGACGTTCAATGTAATTAAAATGGTTCTTCCTGTTTCCCCTCGATGATGACTGCCACTTGCTCTCCACGATGTGTAGGTTAAACCGATCTGCTTCATTTCACAATTTAAAGCCACAGTACAAAACATCACAAATAGCACAGCATTTTACTCTTGATTCATTTGTCACTTCTAACCAGCCGTGGTTGTCTGGTGGGTTTTACTATATTTGTCATAACCAGATTAGTGAAAGAACTCTCTCAAAATAGTTTGTCCTGAGATATACTGTAGGCATTGTGAGACAATGATAATTATTTATTTTAAAACTAAATTATGTCTTCTTTGAAATATAAACATGACGTTGATGTTACTTATGGGTGTACTTTATAACTCTAATATAGGATTATAAATATGTGTATTTGGAAAAAGGTTAAAGTAACCTATAAAATATTCTTCAGAATCACTCAAACATAGCTGGATGCTCTTTCACAGGAATTAACATGAAATATCTCCTAATCAAGTCAGAAAACCTAACCACTTTTATCATTTGAGACATTTCAGAAACGATTAATGCATTTTTATTAATAACCCCATGCTACAATGTTAGATAACGTTTGCACTGGGCATACTGAGCATCTTCCTACTCGTTTTACTTGATGATTTTTTTTCTTCTCACAACCAAATATGGAACCTTAGAAATACATGCAAATAAAGTTCCTGTTTCCTGTGTTATCACAAAGATTTCACTTTCTACTTTTAAATGATAAAACCCTTTCAAACTGACAGGACGCCAGAAGACAAACAGAACAGTATTGAGTGTAACAAGGAAAATATTGTATTTTCTTGTAGGAAAAAAAGGTAAGCAGCTCTTTAATTAAGATGTTTAAATTTTCAATACAATCCACATTTAAGTTGGTATTTTGTGATGTAAGCTTAGTCTTACAATACTGTATCTGTGCTATTGTTAGAAAACCTACAAAGGAACAAACAGTATCAACAGAATTGTATTGTGTGTACATTCTGTATATACAGTACATTAACATTAAATCTTATGGTTACTGTATATTGCTTTATTTAGGCAACTTTGAAAGTATGTTTGCTAATATTTCAAAAGACACATGTTACTATTCATCATCAACATATAGAGATACATCATAATTGGAGATTACTTTATTACTAAAACACAACTTACAGAGCACAATCACACAATGTTTAGATATTTAAAAACTAAGATTTAGAGTAGGTTTTTTAATGCTGTGAAACAAACAGTAAGATTTAAATGGTATAAACCGTGACATTCATCCACCCATTTGCTATTGACTTTATCCAGTAGAGGGCTGTAGGAGAGCCAGAGCCTATCTTGTCAAGCAATGGGCACAAGGCACACAGAGACACAGACATGCTTATACCACACAGGCCTGTTTTCCCAGTAGCCAATTAACCTACAGTACCAACACGTCTTTGGACTTGGGGAGGAAACCACCCCAAATACCTGGTGGATCCCCACACAAACATGGGGGAGAACATATACACTCCATGCAGATAGCACCTCAGCAATTGGGCCCAGGGCCCCAGCACAGAGAGGCAGTATCCTAATAACTGCTCTACCATACTGCCCACACTGATATGTTGACAATCAAAAATTTGGTATTCCCAAATGAATATTTTTTCAGAGTACAGCAGGTTACAACCTACCAATGTTTGTTTTAACAACTGACACATTTCAAGGGCAGAAAGTAATGAGTACAAAATTGTCATTTGTACTACTTTACATTTATTCAGAAGCCATAATTTTGAGGTGGATGTTAAGAAAACAGGTGGAGGAAAGATGTCGACATCAGCAAAAGTGGATTTTGTGTCGCTTATCTCTAGGTTAAGAAATGTATCTACATAGAAATTGGTTTTATACAGACCTGTGCTATTGTGTGCTTCACTAACAAGGCATTTGACAAAGTTTGTGGTTAATAAAGGAACTCTTTCACTTCTCAGATGTAGACTAAAAATATACTGTGGCTTTAGCTGTAAGCTGTATTAAACAAATTCAGGGAATGTTACCCACAGTTTCCCATATCTAAAATTGTCTTGTCGTGTGTGCATCTGAAATGAGAAAGGGAATTTCTTTTAGGTCTCAGTGGCTAAAACATCTTGACAAAAATTGACTTTTATATTATATTCATGTTTTAAGGATTGTTTAATTGTTTAGTTTTTAGAACAATAACTCTTTTAGTTCACATGTATCATAGTAAATTGTCCTTTGATTTGAAACCTGTAAATTTTTGTTATAATTGAAAATTATTGTTCCTGCCCAGCCACATACTGTAGGTCACTTTACAAAATTAGGGAAAAAAGGAAATAGTCTGCACTTAATGCCAGTGTCAATGTCTGCTGAATGTTAATCAGCGACAGTAACTTACAAAATGTATAAGCGTTTTAATAAGTAATAAAGGAAACCCCTAAAGAAAAAAGGCCCTGAACCCTTAATTGACAGCGTTGTACAGAGCCATTCAAGTTTGAAGCAATATAATAGAAAACCAATGAAGATATAAGATGTGAAGAAGGGGTTAACTGGTTCCTTTCTGCACAAGGACTGGCCTTCTTGTGACACAAGACATTCTAGGCTTAGAGTTATGGCAGGAAAGGAGGATAACTGATAAGGATTCCAGAGGCCAGCAAGGAAACCCCCCAGGGAAGGAAACCTAACACGGATCATTAAGAGTGACCAGTCTGTGAACTGTCTGAACACCGTGACCCCCACCATTACCATGATAATGAGCTACGTCAGAAGCGACAGAAAAGTGCTATATAAACTGGAAGTTTTGTACCTGTATTTTGAACAATATTTCGTTTTTATTGTTCCTTGCATTCAATAAAACTCATCTGTTTAAACTTCATCTTGGGATCTAGAACTTCTTTGTCTGTTACAACACCTTCAACCTTATTGGATACCTTATTCATTTATTTTATGAAAGGGACTGCATTTGTGACTAAATCATGTGCTGCATTAACGATGGTTTCAATTTTAACCCACCCCGATTCAGTGTCTTGGCAGATTGCTCTGAAGTGTAAACTGCAGAACCAGAAATATGGACCTTCTTGCAAGGTTAATGCTACAATTGTTGTGCATACAAGGTAACTACCATTCTTTTTATACTTCTTCTCAATTACTGAACATATTACTGTATATGCTAGTATAGAACCTTCTACAGCTTGCGTGTCACTCCTAATCCTCCTGACTAGTAGGTACAGTATATGATTTGTATTACTTGGGCTATGGAAATTGTGGTTTCCCAATAGGTTCTCTTCTTGTTCATTGTAGTTAAATATATATTTTTTAATTTCTTGTAGATCCTAGCCTACTAGTGTTCATCTTGTTTAGATCCAAATCCATTGTATGTGTGCATTGTTCAGGTACAGTAGCATTCCTGACAATATCCTACAGTATATTTCGTTGTACTCTTCAGTGGTTTCCTCAACAGTAATGACTACTGGGATTTCCACTGCCTAGATTGGCTAGAAGTCAGTCTACATTTCAGTTGATGTCAGTCATCTCAGCTTTGTTAAATGTGTTGACTCAAGGTCCTTGATGCATATCTTTCTTGCCGCGTTGCAGAGAATTTAAACAAATATTTCACTTTTTGTATTTTTGTTGGAACTGCCATAGATTGAGGTTGTTGTGACTGGTATCTGAATGACATTTTCTGTGAAGATGGTATCTTGAGATCTGCTGTACCTCCAGGTTTTTGAACATGTAACAGTGTGATGTTAGGTGGCAGTATGACCACATAATGCAATATCCATGTCAATGTTTACAGCTTGGCACCAGCACCTGCTTCGTTATGTCAGTGCTCTAATGATTGGGGGTGTAAAGTATGTATCTTGCATGTGGATTTGAAAGTTTCTCTCACAGTTCCTGAAGCTCACTTTCTAGTACATTTACCTTTCAGAAGAGAAACATGTTTTTGTGGTTGTTCTCATAGATGTACAGTAATTTGGCTTTTGAGACTCATTCAAGATTTGGAGAATTCTTGGAAGACAACATCCAAGATGGCTTCCAAGAAAGCTGAAAAACCCCAAAATCAGAGGCTTGAACTTTTTGAAGGTGGATGTTTAATAGGATTTGTTTGGACCTGTTGATTATTATCGACAAAACGAGAAAATGGAAACAAGTGCAGTTGAGGAAAACCAGGCAACGTTTCTGTGTCATGTTAAAGAAACCATCTCTGATGCTCTCTGAATTACTGTGAAAGATTCGACACGAGGATTTTAAGAAGATGGTCTAGAGCAGGGGTTGGCAATTTATGGCACTTGTGCCATTATTGGCACACAAAGGAATTTGTAATGGCATGTGCAGTAAAATGCTAATAACCCACAAAGAAATTAAGTTAAAAACTATGAAAACTTTTCTGCAATTCTCTATAACATGCTAACCAGCGAAAGCTCTTTAGCTTAGAAAAAATTGATTCACTTGGTTTATTTTCTGTATCATTTTTATCAGGGCTAGCCTATTGTTTTCACAGGAAAGCTTTAAATCAGTGATGCTGATAACATTTTATACTTTTAAGTGTAAAGTCAAACACTGAGGGACTTGTGGACTGTCAAAACTGACTCTAAATGAACACTGTGGCTGAGTTTGGAGTGTACAGTACATGCAAGAACTGGTAATGGGTTTTGGCCCAATGTTTTATTTCCTGCTTAAACCAGACAGCTTTGATACCAACAAAATAGATTTTTCAGTGTTTCAGTGGATGGCTGTTGAAGGAAGGAAGACTTACTGGAAAGAAGTTCTTGTAAACCATTAAGACGCTGGATGTTGCACTTTTCTGTTACAAAGGAAACGAAAGTCTGTTGCAGAGTTCAAAGCTCAAAGAATACAAATGTGAAAAATGATAAAATCAGGATTCAAAATATTTTGGAAAACTGCAAGATGTAAGGAAACAAAGCATGAGCAAGTACAGTAGGTTCTACATTTGATGATTCAAGTGCTCCTCCAAGTGCTTCAGTTTCCTGCCACAGTCAAAAACATACTGGTACAGTAGGTTGAGTTCTGGAAAAATCTGGAAAATGACAGTGTTCTAAATTTTAAGACATTGTACAGTATGTCTTCTTAAAAAACAATAATGCACATATTAAGACTATATAAAATAAGAACTACCTGTATCTGTTGCCTTTGGCAACAATAAATTGTAGGCTGTTTCGTGTCTTTTTTTACTGTATTCTCAAAGATAGACAGCAAGAGTTTTTCAACTGTTTCTAAACCTAAAAGTTTATCAAAAAAAGACCAAGCTGTAAAACTAAAGCCTTACTTGAATCTTTTTGTTTCCAGAGATTTATTTTCCTGTACTTGGTGATGTCTGGAAGGTTAAAGTTCTTCCCCAAATGGATGCTCTGACCAGTTCCTGTGTGGTGATACCTTGTACTTTTCAATATCCTGGTGAAAGGAAGTCTTCTGCACGAGTGAGAGCTATTTGGGAAGCAAAAGACAGCACAAGAAGTAACCCAAAATACATCTATCACAATGACGTAACACAAGTGATGGATAGTTTTCAAACACGCACAAGGATAGTTGGAAATTTAGGGGATCAAAATTGCACCTTGGAGATTGATAAAGTTCAAACCCATGATGATGGACCATTCTGTTTCAGGGTTGAATTAGAAAATACAGACAAATATTCTTTTACGGATAACTGTGTAACTTTTCAATTTAAGGGTAAGAAAAAATATTTATTATCTTTTTGGGATTCTTAATTAACACATGGTGACTGTGTAGGAACTCATAATCCTTTCTGAAGTGTGCCTCACACTCCAAATAATATTGTTAACAATCCACTTTCAAGCATATTACAAAACATCAGATATCACTTAAATTATGGAGGGCTTTTTGGTACTAAAGTGTGACAAGAGATCTATTAATTAGAAAAGGCACTAATTAATGTTACCCAAAGTTAATGACAGCTAATAATGTTACAAACCCTTATTACAATTTCTTTGTAGATAACTAAATAAATGGATTGTTATGATTTTGTTGTTTCATGGTTTTACTCTTTACTCTTTGTTCTTAGAAAATCCTGAAAAACCTGTCTTGGTTCATGATGCAAAAGCTTATGAGGGAAGTGCCTATGGGGTCACTTGTACAGTGAAGCACACCTGTCCTACACACCCCCCTAATCTCACTTGGAGCCGTGATGATGCAAAGCCTGTTGTTTATCACAAAAATAATGGCTTTGGCAATTGGGAAGTGACATCCTTGCTGACATTTGTACCTTCAGCCAATGACCATGATGAGGATTTAAGCTGCACTGCTCACTTTTGGGGACAGAGGACAGAAGTGAACTCTATGACTTTAAATGTGAAACGTAAGTATCATTGCAATAATAAATGGATAGTGTCCTTCTCATGAATGTGGAAATGAAAATGATTACTTTATGTTCTCCTACTCTTGAAAAGACGTTTCTGAAAATGCCCTCACTGACAAATTGTTCAAGTTGTGGTCAAATTGTGATCTCTTACTTGCTCTATCCTATGTGTAAATTTTCTCTGGCTGCCCATAACTCTACTCATTTGTCTCCTTCATGCCAGATTAAGGGTCACTTTCTCACCCCTTCTTTTACAAGTAACTCTTCAACCTCAGAATGGCTCTCTGCACTTGCCATGCTGTTGTCTATTCTTTCTACTTTCTACAAGTGTCTTCCCCTCTGCACCTTTGTCCTTAACCTAGCTTTATTTTTATTTCTCCCTTTTCTCCAGTTTTCTTTTCACTGTCTCTGTAGGAGTCTTGAGCACACAGTGTCAGTCTGCACTGGGTCCAGGCTTCCTTGTTCACAGCTCTCACTGTGCCTGGTACCTTCTTTACCCCCATCAGTTGGTGTCCAACTAGTGCTGTGTTGTCCTTGACTCTTTTCATTCCTAATTTTACTCTCATGAGTGTTCCACTTCGAATAAGTTCTCATCTTCCAGTTCTAGCAAACATAAACTTAAACAAGCAGTAGCTCTCTAGCTGTTCCATTCTATTTCCATGTTAAGTTACTTCTTATCGGACAGATCTAAAAATCACAGTTTAACATTACCTGTGAAAAACATTCTTTCTCAATGTCTTAAACCAGCTGTAGCTGCTCTATCTACAGTAAGTTAATACACACTAAATTCAATTGTGTTAAATTTATGATCAGTTATTTTCAGTGTTTAACACATTTTTCCAGACCTAATATTGTACAAAATGGTGGTGTATCATACAAACCTACACAAACATTATAATTCAGCAGTATGCATAACAGTCTGGAATTCACTGGAATTCATTGAACATTTTTTAATTATAATTTGTGCCATTTTAATGAATACTTGACACAGTCCCATTTCTCCCCTAAACGTTGATCTAAAAGTTGATCAATACTTCTTTGTTAATATTTTGAATTAAGTTGTAATTTGTTAACAGCTGTTGTTAAATTTACTATAAATCAAAGTTCTGTAATACTGTATGTAAATAGAGCATAAAGGTTCTGATTTGTTTATTATTCCAACCCTTGAAACTAACTGTTACTGAGTATCAGGATATTTTATTTTGGCAAAATTTCAAATCAGAGGAGGATCTAAAGTACCAATGCTGCTTTTATTCTTTTAATGTGAAAACCTGTGAAAACAAGTAAGTAACCAACAATAACACCACTGCATGTGACTAATGTTGCCACAGGCAATCCTTTCCATACCCTGGTCCTCACCTACACCTCACTGTCTCAACCACCTTGCTTCTACTGTACTGATGGTATCTTTATTTTTTCCCTCCACGCTTGTTCACTCATCTTGTCTGCTTTGTGTATCACTTCTCCATTCTCCCACTTCCAGGTTCTTCTAGATTCGTTCTCCATCCTTAATATTCAGTCGTCTAAAAAAAAAAACTAGTGCAGTATACAGTATGTATGTGGATCTGGTCTATATTTTTTTTAACCATTGTTTCAGCATAAAAAAAGTTATAATTTGCCAAGACTGCCCTTTCTGTGCTTTTGAGCCTTTTATTTTCACAGCTCCCCCATTTCTGTTTTCAGAAAAACAGAACTTCCTGCACATTATAGTCCCTGTTATCGCTGTGGTGCTGATAGCTTTGATACTTGGGGGTCTATACAAGTGGAGGAGGACTCAAGACAAGTAAGTTTTTGCCAACACTATACAACAACCTTATTTGTCATGACTGGAGATATGCTGAACCCACGAGACAGTTGAAAGTGATTTCAGTATCCAGGAGTCAGAAATGAAAAAGGCAAAACATTTAGGAGCCACTTAGGCTTAGGCAGTAGGGACATATAAATGCTGCTGAAAGACATTTAAAGGGAGTTATGAAAGCTTGTTCCTGAAAGTTTGTAAAATCCATCCCAATTAGCATCTTTACTGTAAGCAGAGTCAATAATACTTAAATTGTAAAGCACAGAATTTCTTAGCTAACCAAACTAAGGACTTATTATACAGTATGTATATAGCGTAGACCTTAACCTGATATTTGGTGATTCAAGCCTTTTTACTCTAAAGAAGACCAGACTGCACATATAACCTATAATGTATAAGTTAAAATTTACTATTGGTTTT